GCTATCAAACGGCTTGGAGAGGCCCTTCCCAGTTCTGACGGAGCTGGTGGTATTGCTCAACGTCATTTTACAAAGCCGTATTAGTTTCGTGGGGATACCAAATTCAGACATAGAGGCGTATAGGCAACTTCCTTTTGTGCTAAGAAAGCGGCTTTGAAGTCGACAAATAGATGGTGAGTGTCGATCCTTTTATCGCGGGTCTATTCCAAGATTTGACGTATTGTGAATATCTGGTCTATGGTGGATTCGCCAGGTCTAAAGCCACACTGATAAGGCCCAATCAGTTCGTTGACGGTGGGCTTTAGTCTTTCACACAATACGCTCGATAAGACCTTGTAACCTACGCTTAGAAGGCTGATTCAGCGGTAGTTGGCGCGTATGACGCGATCGCCTTTCTTGTGGATTGGGCAGGCACATTAAATTCCAGTCGTTGGGCATGCGTTCATCTGACTGTGCATAAGAGTTGATGCATGCACCTTATCAACTCCTCGCCTCCTTACTTGTATAGCTCAGCTGACAGGCTGTCAGCTCCATCAGCTTTGTTGTTTTTCAGCCGCGTAATCGCTTTTCGTACCTCGTCATAGTCAGGCGGTGGGACAGCTACTCCATCATCATCGACTGGGGACTCGGGCTCGTCTTCTCCAATGTTTTCAGCGCTGCTACCATTTAGTAGAGTGAAAAGTGTTCCCTTCATAATTTAAGTACATTCTGTACATCGGTCACTAGGTCGCCATTGTTGTTCTTACAGGAGTTCGCCCTGGTCTTGAAACCTTCCGTAAGTCGCCTAACCCTCTGGTAAAATTTTCGGGCGTTTTTGCTGTCGGCCATCAACTCCAGCTCTTCGCAGTCACGTATTTCGGCCTTTCTTTTCCTATTGCGGCAAATAAGTCTCGATTCCTTCTGCAGTTCCCTTAAACGGCCCACATGGCTCGCGTTGCACGCGATCGCAACGTGGCCCTGTAGGCGGCATCTTTTTTCTCTGCAGCTTTTTGACATACCCCATCGTACCAGTTGTTCTTTCGGGCTCGCTGAAATCCGACTACTTCTTCGGCGACGGTAGTTAATGAGCGGGAAATGTAGTTCCACCGCTCGCGTATGTCGGTTTGTTGAAGAGTGCTCTCATAGAGCAGTTAAGCTTTCCTTGCATTGTTGGGCGCACATTTTTTGCTGCACAGAGGCGGGTGCGTATCTTGGCTGCAACAAGACACTGAGAAAAAGGATTAGTTTCGACAACTAAAGATATTTAGTTCCCGAATTTTGACAATATTTGGGAACTGTTACCAAGGATTGGGAACTATTACCATCGATTGGTAATTATAACTAAATATATTAAAGCTTCTAATATTCATCTAGGTTGTAACAAATCGTTAATTTAGTTGAAGAGTTTGGTTAATACTAATAAATATTTCCTTGGTTCATAAAAGGATGTTATTAAGCTCTGCTAATGCAGATAAGCTTTCTTTCAACACGTGGTTTAGTCATAGTTACCAAATCTTAGTTGAGGCAACCACGATTTGGTTTGAGAGTGGAACATATTCATGCTTGTGATCAGTGTTGCCAGAACTTTTTGGGCCGACCGGCTAGATTGGCAAAAAAAAAGCGGCTAAAAACGGCTAAAATGTTTTAGTGAAATTTCACATAGACTCTGGCAAAAAACGGCTAAAATGTTTTAGTGAAAATCCACATGCTTTATTTAAATAAATCGCAAGAAACGAAAGACTAGTTAACACCATTAATTTATATCGAGTGTATATTCCTCATCATCAAATGAATCACTCTTGTATATATCACCTGAATTCATTAATTTTAAGAGATCGTCATCTACAGTAAAATTATGGCAGCATTTTTCTTCACGTTTTAAACCGTATCTTATATATAAAATAGCGTTTAACGTTTTAACGCACATTGGATTTCTTTGCTTAGTTTTTATTATATTCATTGAACTAAATATTCGCTCTACTTCTGCATCACTTATAGGCAAAACAAGAAAACTAAAAACTAGGTTGCAAAGGTCAGCAAAAGGGTTTTCTTCTAGGGCATTTCGAAATTGACAGTTGAGTCTAAATTACTCCAGGTATGTAACGTTAACCGTTGCCATTGCATCTCTATGGATGTTATTTCGTCGGCATTATATTTGCGTTTTTGTTGCTGTAGTTGAACAAATACTTTTGGTTTAATTAGGGCCGGTTGTTCAATGTCTGGTTATCAGTACCACTACACTATCGACGATTTCGACATCATGCATGTAACATGTGATCGATAAAGCAGTAGTTGTGCTTAACCGGAGCTTCTACCTCCGATTTGTGCTAATCAGACATTGAACAACCGGCCCTTACTCTTAATGCATTTCCAACCGAAAAAAGTCATTTTTTTTTTAGTGTGGCAATATTTGTAGGGAGGGGTTGGCGTAATTCCTTTATTAAAGTGATAATAAAATAGCGACCATTTTCTCGAATTATTTTCTCGGCTTCGTGGTCAGAAGCGTTTGTGCTTACTTTTGTTTTTAAATACTATTCAAAACTGTGATAAAACTGAGGAGATGGAGCAAGGTATGGTTCCAACGGGGAGCATATAGGATCAAATGCGTCCGCGCTAATAACCACTAGGGAGCATAGATGCGAAAGTAAAACATTGAGTTCATTAAAAATCTTCATTGGGTCTGCAATATTGCTTTCGAACAACTTGTTTACTTTTTGCACCTGAAAATTAGGCATATAGTAAAATCGGCTAAAAACGGCTAACTTTTTTTTACAAACCGGCTAACAAATCGGCTGCCGGTTAGATCGAATTTTCTCCGGCTAGTTGCTATCAAAACCGGCTAAATCTAGCCGGAAAACGGCTAAAATGGCAACGCTGCTTGTGATTATCTCTAAAGAATGTTGAGCGCTCTCTGAGCACATACGAAGAGCGCCAGCTGAGCAATGCACACAGTCCCACTTATTGAATCGTTTGAATGCGCTAGTATGCCGACCATTGCATTGTGCGTGGAAATCATTGCTCCGCTACCGCTGTTCGTATATGGGTGAAACACGCATGTGGTCCCAGAGCGCTCAGTAAGCTATGGCATGTCGATCGCTGCGCCATTTGTGCTATGACATGCCCATACTTGTTTGTCTCAGTTTCAGTTTTGCTATCATCGCGAGTTGTTTCGGTGCGCGCATAGTTTAAAGTTTAATTAAAAATATAAAGTTTGATGCCAACCGGGGTTTTTCAGTGGATATATAATTCATGTGAATTATAATTTGAAAGTGTCTATTTAGCTAAGGAAAAAGCAAAGCAGTATACTTCCAGCAGATATTGACCTGGGTTTCATCGTTGTTTTTTAGGAAATTCTTACCAACATATACATATGTATTATTTACTTTAGTAACTAACTTATGTAAATATGTACGTATTTTTATGCTTAATATATGCAAATAAAAGAAGAAAGTAAACACAACAAACATCGAGTAAATTTTTATTTGTGTCAAACTGAAACTTTTTTCCTAATAATAAAAAGTTAGCTGATTCAAGTCTACAGCAAGTTCACAAAATTAATTGAAAACTTGTATCAACCAAAGCATTGTTTATATTTGCTCAACAATGATTTTATTCAACTAACAATATTGTCCAATCAAGGTAGTCGTTTTGTAATTATTAACAAATATACATTTGTCCCAACTTGAAGTCTTAAGTAAATTGCAGACTTTCGTGAACTATATATTTATTTCGCCATATCCAACTATGCCACTTGATCACTATAACCAAATCTTGGTTATTATAACTAAACCTTTTTCTGGGTGTAGTTGTCTGAGTCGATGTTTGGCCCTCGGAGTGTACGTACGTCTAAAACACTAGAAGCGTGCCTTCCGTCTATCATAACATGATGGATTTGGTTTTCCGTTTTTCGATCTGGAGACAGCCATGTAGCTTGATGGATCTTTTCATGCTGGAACCTAGTAATACATATTGCCATGTTTCGGGCTCCGGCGAAGTCGATCAGCCTCAGTCCGTCATCGGACGTTTCGTCGTGGAGTCTGAATTTTCCGACAGTGGCGCCAAAAATCCCTTCCTTGCCCACCTTGGCATTAAAATCGCCGAGCACGATTTTGTTATCGTGTTGGGGGCGGCGCTCATATGTACGCTCCAAGCTCTCATAGAAGAGATCCTTGGACGCCTCGTCCTTCCCTTCCGTCGGATCATGGGCGCAGATGAGCGAGATGTTGAAGAATCTCGCTTTTATGCGGATTGTGGCTAGACGTTCGTCCACCGGGGTGAAGTACAGAATTAAACAAATCAAAATGGCGGAAGTTGTTTTTTAATTTATTGAATTAACTTGAAACTCACTTTGGAGCTTTTGAGGTCACAAACTGTAAATTTAACCCTCTATTCTAACAGAGTCACAAAACTTAGCGCGGAGTAGAAATCATAGCAGTGATGAGCTTAGGTTTGTGACTTTGTTAGAATAGAGGGGTAAGTAAATATCAGATATTATAAATTCAAAATGGCCCATTGTTAAGACTATATCGTTATTGGTGTTTAAAAGTAGGTAAACGACGTCTCTTTTAGACAATTGGGTCTTATTATTGGTAGTCTACTGAAGAAAAACAAAGTTTTCCGATAAAAAATATAGGTTATCCAGAATTATATACCATTTCTACAAAAACTTGTTTTATCCCATACAAAATACATGGACAGCTTTGTGCACATTGAGCGGCCTCTTAAGTATTTTTTTTGATTTCAAAATAAAAAAACATTTTTTTTTTGGTATAGTTAGAACAATCCTAGTGGGTGAGAGTATTAAAATTCTGACTTAACTTTTTACATGCATTTTTGGACCACCTTAGTGTACATACATACATAATATGTAGATATGATTTTAAATTAAATTTATAATGCGTTGAACTTTCTTTCGCCATTTCTCTTATCATGCATGTAGTGAGGTTAAAATAATTATATATTTTAATAACCAGACAGAAGCAGTAGCTATCCTGCTTGCCAGCTAAGAATTTACTGCTTACCTCATTTAGACCAGGTGTATTTCTTGACTTACAACAGCCGAAGAGGCATTCATAGATGCCGCGAAAGCACATCTTATAATTAACTACGATTAATTGTAATTATATATGTATGTAGTATGTAAATTTTTCTTGGTGTATGTAGACACAAATTAAATTCGTCGCAATTAAAGTATGTATGTATGTAGAATAAAATATGTTAAAAGGTCGCACAGAAGCCAGCATAAAAACGAATTGCCAATAAGAACTAAGAAAGTAGAGCGCTTTCGTTAAATCGTCGAGTTGAAGGTTCTTTCAAAAGCCTTAAATATTGACACATCTAACTATTGGAGTGCGTGTTTGTTTGTTTATTGAGCATAAAACAGCCGTGAAAATACAACCGAGAATTTTGGCTTTCAACGCTTTCCGAGTATTTAGTTTACAATCGAAGGCTCAGAGTGGCGAGGTGAGCGAGGAGTTTGAGCGTGATAAGTAATTTCATAAATTTCAATTATTTATGGCAGCAGTAGCAATATGATAGCGAAGAGTTTTTTTATGATTTATTTTCGTTTGCGTGCAAAGCTTTTTTAAGCTTACTTAAGTGAATTTATTTTTATTTTTTTTTTATTTAACGCAAATTATTCTCAAATAATTGCCGTGAGATAGTACATATTAAATTGTGAATTCTCCCATACAGCAGGGCATTGTTATTTGTTGCTTCTGGTGTGTCAACTTGTTTGTATTTTATTTGTTTTAATTAAATTTTTTTCACTTCGAGGTCTCTATTTTACATGTGACCTTTGATTTCAAAACCTTTTTTGATTTATTTTCTTATTTCTCTTGTTTTGAGTATTATCCTCGCAGGGTGCTGTAGAAGAAGTGGCCATACGCTTGAATACTCATTGCAAGCTCTTTGCGTTAAAAATTTAAAGAATTCGCTAGCCTCTCACCAACCATTGCATGAATCATTCATTTGCCGGTTTGCATCAACTATCTCGCACATTTCTTTCGCGCACTCCGCTTTGCATTGCTTTTCTGGCCTACTGAACTACCTGCCTCGTTTGATCCGGCTAGGTACTCGCTCATTTACTTTGTAATTTTGTAAAATTTTTATTTTTCACTTATTATTGTTATATCTACTAGTTGTGTATCGAGTGTGTTTTATTGTTGTTATAAAATTATCGTACATTTGTTTTAGTCATCTCAACGGGACCTTGTTTATTTTCCATTTGCCAATATCAACAAATCGAAATAACAATTTTTACTTCTGCTTTTTGTTTTTATTGCGGCTAATTTCAGCTGTTCGCAGCAAAGCACTATTTTATGAAAGCTAATCGAATCGCAGGTACATACGTACACTCGCACCGCCTTGACTTAAGTTCATAAAATTTGTATAGTTTGAGCTACTGGTTATTGTTTTTATAATTTGTATTATTTTCCATTTGTTATTTACGTTTTATTTGAATTAAAAAAGGCGTACCTAGTTTTTATTTAAAACACACACACTCATATATACATACACACGCGCACTTGTGCGAATATTACAAGTAAATTTTCTAACTACAAGTTTTAAAAGTTGAAAAAAATTTAACTATGCACCTCTTAAACTCGCGTGTTTTTTTTATAAATATCTATTTATTTTAATTAAATCACAGTTTCGTATGGTGCTCACTTGTGTGCACTCCACATGAATTCAACTTCCACCACCAAATTTGGCTATCCAATTGTCATCATCGCAAAAAATCGATCAACCATTTCGTTTGGCATTCAAAGCCATTACATTCGTTTTGTACGTTTCTATATAAATCGTTTCCGTTTAAAAAAATTATACTACTAAAATTCACTAAATCATTTGCGTGTTTAATTATTTCCCAAAATTCGTTTTCATTTAATTTGTATGCAATTTTTTACTATAAAAATCGTCTACTTGTCGTCAATATTTTTGTTGGAAGTTTACTGTTTTATTGCCTTCGATTTCATGCTTTCGTTGGCTTTACGACATGTTTTGCCATACAAATACGCGACCTGACTGAAGTTAATCGCTTGCTAGACATATGGAGGGAGCAGCTTCATTGGGGAGTGGGCTGCTCAAAAGAGCGTAAAAATTATAGAGCGGCCAGCGTTGCCACGTCAAATCTTTTTACCTACCAAAATTTCCAACTAAAACCCACCAAAATTTTTTTTGAGTTTTTGATTAATCTTTTTTTAATTTCGAGTTTATTAAAAATGTAGATAACAAAACATTTAGTAAAACTAAAACGCAGCTAGTACAATAAAAACAAATTAACTGTGTATAACAATTCGTTTTTCTGTATAGGCTTATACAAATGTCCCTTTACACATACATATTAGGGGTATTCTCTGAGTCTTGCAAAGCCCTTGCATGGTGCACAGATTCCACGGTTAAAACCGGTTTTCGTATGGGACAGCTTTGCAAACCGTGCAATCCGTGCACCGTGCAAGGGCTTTGCAAGACTCAGAGAATACCCCTATTATTATTATTACGTCGCGAATACTCGCGCTACGAGCTGAGAAGATCTAAACCCAGCCCACAAAATATCTAATCCGTCTCTAGAGATAGCACTATTTTATTCAAATTCTACCTTAACTTGCAGTGTCCTGTCAGGATACCAGTAAGAGTTCTAAGAGCCTCCCGGGTAAGTTCAAGAAGTCTTTCGGAATTCCTCCTGGAGGGACTTATGAATCTCTTTGATTTCTCATTCCCTTTGACTTCCGCCAGTGGGCAGCAATCTGAGATTCTTCCCAGCCCCTAAGTAGTTATGCAATGTATCCTTTAGATGTACCCTTCATCTCCCGGAACCCACCCTAGCGTTATGCCATTGTGGACCTCAGGTGGTTGTGTAGTGTTTTACAGTTGTCCCCAAGCCTTGATGCCATTTTAAAAGAGTCTAAGACCTTTAACGCTGCCTAACTTGCCGACATAATATTTATTCTGGCCCCATTTGTCCTTCTACAGACTTCTGCCTGGAAAATGGTTAGGTATAAGTACGCCTACTCCCGTCATCCATCTTCGATCCGTCGGTATACCATACTTAGGACATTTCGTCATTAACAGTTAATTATCACTTTACAGCAGTGCCTTTCAGGAATTCTTACCTTAAGAATCTTCAAATAACCCCCGAGATCTGCAATTTTTATGCCAATCGTATTGGGCAGCCGTAGATCGCTCCAGAGGTCATCTTTTTCAATCAGAATAGACAAAGAAAGAATTCCTGTAATGGCACCAAGGGCATCCGTTGAACAGGTGGGCATTGCTCCTGTGATGGCCACGCGGACCATTTTGTGCAGCTTGCTTAAGGTGCCACTCGCGTTTACTTTCTTAGCTTTTGGCCAGCAGGCCAGTGCAGCATATATAACAACGGTTTTTGCTACCGTATTGAAAGACCAATACTTTTGTTTGGGTAATATTCCCTAAGTCCTACCACGAAGTCTCTGACAGGCATAAAACGCCTTTGTAGCCTTGTTGGTAACATTCGAGAAATGTGATTTCCAATTGAGTCTTTTGTCCAGAGTCACTCCTAGATACTTCGCCTCCCGGCAGCCAGTTCGAAAACGGCCTACCTCAGAAAACTTTTCCAGAACATCCTACTTCATAATTTGATTTAAGCAACATCCTATTTCAGAATTTCATTGAAAAACGCCCTATATCAGAATTTGGTTCAAAAACGCCCTATCTCACTTGAAAATTTATTGAAAATATGCTGAGATAGGGCACTTTTGAACCGAATTTTTAGATAGGGCGCTCTTCAACCAAATTCTGTAATAGGGCATTCTTGAAAAGTTTTCTGAGATAGGGGGTTTTCGAACTAGTTGGCGAGATAGGTCGATCTCCCACTCAGGTGTCGATTTATATGGTACTTATACGTTTGCACTTAGGAATCAGGCATATTTACATGTTTGCGGTCGCCGTTACACGAATGTACCGCTGAAATATTTCTGTAAATAAGGTTGCTGAATCGGTTTTAATATACATATTGTCCATTTTTTCGCTAATAAATGTTAGTGTCGCAAAATCCAAAATAGCCTACCAACCTAGCAAATGGATAAAAACCTACCAGTTTTGGTAGGAAAAGCCGATGTGTGGCAGCACTGAGAGCGGCATTGACAAATACACCGTCAAGAAGTCAACAGTAGCAGCAGAAGCTTAAAGCTAACAAACAGCGCCAAAAAAAGCTTTACTTACTCATCAAATCTGTTGGTTTGAGAATTTGTATATGTAGCTACATTGCATTGATAAATAAATACATTCATACACATTTGTGGTATTAACAACCCCTTTCTACCCTTAAGAGAGCTATGTGTACTGAGTCACACACGGATGGCATTCAAATTCTCTGACGCCCTACTTAATGCTTTACTTTAGTTGATTTTATTTTAGTTTTGACCGACTTCCAAAAAAGGAGGAGGTTATCACCGAAAAAAATTAAAGTAAAATCTTAACTTTTATATTTGACCGAAAAAATAAAAGTCAAGTTTTAACTTTTACTTTTGACTGAAAAAATATCAGTAAAAAAACAACGGTTAATTGCTGACTTTTTTAAAAAAAAGTAAAAAAAAACAAGTAAGAAAGTCTAAGTTCGGGCGGAGCCGAACATTAAATACCCGGCGCAAGTATTAAATATATGTTTTCCACCTTTCCGAAAGCTACCGCTACATGATAAGCCGGGGTGTATACATTTTAAGTAAATTAGCGTCCTTAAATTTCGAAATATTGCAGTTTCAAGCATATCTGAAATTTACCGTTATATGAAAAGCGGCCTCAATTTTATTCCGATTTCAACAATTTTCAACGGTTTGCTTTTATGTGGCAAGCACAATAACCATACCGAGCTTGGTACAAATTGCTAGAACGGTTAGCGAGATACATATATGTGATCACAAGTGGGCGGTGCCCATTTTCCAAAATTTTGTCATAAACGTATTTCTTGGTAAAGAATTGTTGCAATCATCAATTTTGAATAAATTAGCTTCAATATTTACTGATTTATCGAAGATTTTGTATTTCTCGAAATTACCGTTATATGGGATGTGGGCGTGGTTATTGTCCGATTTTAGAAATTTTCGGCCAGTTGGTATGCTGTACCAGGACCAACAACTGTGCCAAGTTTGGAAGAAATTGGTGTAGCGGTTACCAAGATAT